TTTTTCATCCATGGAATGCCCAACCAAAACTTGGAGCACACCAGCCGAAAATTTCAATGGCAAACAGTTCACATCAAGTTACAAGGATTCTTGATGCTAAGAAACATAATTAAGTCATCCAACATCTCTATTGGCTATCACCTAACAAGTCACAAGAAGCTTAGCTAATAACAAAATGAGCCACACCACGCAACAAGTCGACCCCAGCAAAAAACGCGCAAGAAACGGATGACAAATCACCAAAAAACTAAATTTCCCCAATAAAACGAACAAGCCACATACCGTAAAAAAAGCAGCTCCTGTTCACAAAAGAGCTAAAAACCTAAAATTTCCCCAGTTAAATGAGCAAGCCACATACCGATCGAAAAAGCAGCTTCTGTTCACAAAGGGCTAAAACAATGAAAGAGATTCATGAATACATCTTTCTCCTCCAAAACTGTTGACCGATCCCTTTTTTATCCTGTATTTAAGATCAAATACAATAATTACAAAGCTCCTGCAACATTACAAGGATCTACAAATCTTCTCACCCCCAAGAAGAATAAGACAAAAGGATCCAAGATTCAGAAATATCCACTGCCTTTCATTGCTGACGAGTCAAAACAAAAATAAAAATAAAATTAAAATTAAAAATAAAACACAAAACACTATAATACATACGCAGCAAGAAAATAACGGACATAACTTGCCACGAGCAAACCCGGCCTCAACTAAAAGGCCGATTTATCTTCAAACTTACAACTACTACCTGCCTACATCCCCATTACTCCTCCAAGTATCGTCCTCTCTAATTACATTCCCAGCCTGCACAGATATACTCTGAGCCTTTGCATAATGCAGTTTAATAGCTGTGACTGGATCCGAAACACCCGTACACTGGAGAACCCCTCGACCAACATCAAGTCCCACCATTGATCTTGCTGCTTGCTGTTGCATTCCCTGCACAACACTAAACCCGTTCCTCCTTTGCATCTCTGCAAACAACACTTCCTGCTGTTGCTTCATACTATCAACGGTAAAAGGCTGCAACTCCCGATTTCTCAACAGCTGATAATCTGACGTGCAATTATTCATGTCCCTGGTAGCGAATAGTGGGGGCTGATCGAATTTTAGAGTTGGCGTAGAGTGAGTGCTGAAAGCTGCGGGGTATTTGGCTAACAAGAGAGTTGAATCGGGCAGTGGCTGGAAAATCGTGGGCTGTTTTGTTCTGTTCTCATCCCAACAGCCGAAACTCTTAAAAGGGATGTTACTATTTTCGGAGGAGGCGAGATAACTGTGGCAATCAACCTTTGACTGAAAAGAATCCAAATTAACTGCTTTGTCATCGCCACTGAATTTCAGGGTCAGCGACTGGTGGTGATGGCCATTATTATTGTTGTTACTACTAACAACATCACGATCGCAAGAACTGGTTTTCTCTTGGGATGATATCAAGATTTTACCAAACAACTTCACGTCACCATTTCTTGAAGGCTGCGGGGGCTTGTCCGCGACAGGCGAGCAGCCTGATTGTGGTAAAAAAGACACGTTATCGATCTGATTTCTAAAACCAGTAGAACACTTCTGGAGAGAAAAATCCGTGTGCAGCTCTAGATTCAGCTTACCACTGTCACTCTTGGGAACATTTTGTACGGCAATGTGTTTTACAACATCGCCATTAATCTCCTTCAGAGTCTGCACTGAAACAGGGTACCCCGTCAGAATATGGGAACGCTTGACAGAATCAGACAGTGAATAACCCAAGACATGCTGATGACTATCGCCTGCAAGAGCAACTTTCTGAGGATCATTTTGGCTGGTCCCATTCAAGGGCTTTTGATACTTAATGGGAACAGGGAACAATGTTGATGATTCCATGGGTGCAGCACAGTGGCCATTCTGCTCCAAAGGGGGATTACTTTGGCTCTCCGAATCCTTTTCAATGGAAGAAAGTGAAGAAGCAACAGAAGGATGAGAGATATTCTCAGCCTCCACCTCAACTGGTGTACTGCTTACCACATTCACTTCAGTGGAATTCGCACCCCCATCCTCAACTTTCTTATTTTCCAAATTATCGTCAGACAAGATAAGCCCTTGTCCTTCATTATCTTCCATATGATGCCCATTAGAGACCTCAGCCAAACCCTTTTTATCAGTATCATTAGGTCCACCATTTGTTGGCTGACCATGGTCATTGCTTTCTTCAGCTTGTACTGACTCATTAATATTGGTGGATGCAACTGAGGTTTTGACTTCAAGCTCAGGCGTAAATGCTCCATCTGAGCAACACAGTTCTATGTTATCCACATTGAAATCCACAGCTTGCTTATAATCGACAAGAGTATTATCAGCAGTTGACGAATCCTTCAAGACAGGTTCAGTAATAACAGAGTCAAAATGCTTCGACTCTTCACTTGTTCGGGCTATATCAGGTTCGTGACTGCAGCTCTCAGGAGGATCCACCTCCATCTTACACTCCGAGTCATCATTGGCAATAACACAAGCAGCATCTTCAGTGTCACTACTGCCCCCTCCTCCATCAGCATCACCACCACAAGCAGCTGCATTGACAGGTCCAGGGGTAACATGGTCCAATCCCAGGCACTTCCTGGCCTTGCTAAAGAATATCTTGCACTGCTCGACAGACCTCGTTCTAAGACACTGAGAGATCATTTCGAAATCCTTGCCATAAGACGACACGGCCTGAACAAAGAAGGACTTCTCTTCATCAGTCCAATCAGTGGGGTCCACCATCTCTGCGCAGCTCTCGTCTGAGCCCTCATCATTGACACTCTGCGTAACATCCGGAGTCAAAGACAGTTTCACGCAAGAAGTGACTCTCTGAGTATAGCCGTCAACAGGGTCGACCGAACTAGTGATGCAAGAGCTCATAGCCTCCCCTGAAGACAGGGAACCACAAATACCCGCCAATACATCAGCAGCTGCGGCTTCATTATTATCCAAACTGTTTAATCTCTCCAATGGACCATGAAAATTCCTAGGTGGTGCTTTTTTAGGCTTCTGCTGAGCTTCTATGGCATTAGCTGCAATCATGGAAGCTTCACCAAGTACATCAAGAGAAGCGGCATTTGCCTCACGGTTCCATCTTTTCCCATTTGCAACCAAGTATGTGGTGGGCTGAGACTTGCTTTGCTTTGTCACACCTGGCTTAGCCCTCTGAAAGCTTTCTGATTTGTGATTCTTGTAATAAAACTCAATGCAATCTGCCACAGTTTTACGTTCCAGGAAGGATGAAATCTTGCTGAAATCTTTCCCGAATTCAGAGAGCTTATCAATAAATAACTCCATCTCTTCAGGGGTCCAGGGGTTGATCATGGACCTCTCTTTTTCAGTAGCACAAGGATCCTCCACCAGAGCATTATTCGAGATAAACCTTGACATCTTTATCCGCTGATCCAAAATCATAGCCGGCATCTTCAAAGTACTCCGACAGGGCTTGATCTGTGACTCTCTAAGCAACTCATTGATAAATTCAACAACTTCTTCGGCAGGCACTTTCCGAGAGCTTCCAGCTGCAACATATTAAGAAAGAATTGGTGGAATAGCATGACAAGGAGGCACAAGAATTACTTTCAAATCTTATTTAATGTTTAAACAAGTAATGACCATCACAAAGTACAAGATACCCTGGATATTTGAAAAAAATTGCAGCAACCGGCTTAGAGTGAAATCACTCTAAACCTTTATGTAGGACGACTTCATGAACATGATAAAACCAATCCTAGCCACTTGCCTATTTTAAATATTTAAAACACTATATATCTGAATTACTGACTCCATCTAACTTGTATTTCAGGTTTGCCAACCGCTTCCACGTGGCAGCACAGGTAGGGTTGTCAACATACAGTTGAGCTTACGACACGAGGCAAAAACTATTAGAAACTGAACTTACTTCTATCCGTTGTGCTTTGCAAACTAGATCCAATGAAACCCTTACTGGTAATATACACAAGGAGGTTTCCAATATGCAGCTGATGAACAAATATGTTTGTTTGACATTCTAGAGAGAGAGAGAATGAGATGATAGCGTCAGGTGGCTCCTCTGGAAGTCTGGCAATCAAACCAAATGGAATGATGTGTTTCTTAGAATAAAATCTTGGCGGTACAGGAAGCCAAATGGGGAAGAACACTGCCAAATCGTCCAAGTATTGAACTAGGAATACATAAAACTCAGGCTAGAAACAACTGCACCCAGGAAAATCCCTTTGTACTGATTATTTTGAATAAACACCATGGGTGCTAAAGAAAGAATTTTAATTCAAATAATCCCATTTACAGAAACATCTGGGTTTATTTTCTTAATGATAGATCTGGTATCCAGCTCTTCTTACAGATTTCAAAGTTAAGATGAGGACTAACAGCAAGTAATACACCATTAACATTACCAAGATTATGACTGTATCAAGATCATTGTTAAAAAAAGAATTTATGAGCAGAGGAATATAATTTAAAGCAACTAAAATCACTAACCAGAATGAGATATTCTAGAGCGACTGGACGAACGATTCTTCTTGTACCCAGGACGACATAGATCCAACTTCTTATGAGACTTCCCTCGAAGTTTACTTACAGAAACTACACGACCTTCTCTCCAGAAATGCTGAAATACCTTAAACTTCAGAGTAAGAACCTTCTCTTTGAACAAGAGGGATCGCTTCCTCATCAGAAATCTCTCTTTGATAAATGAGGAATCCCTTTGCGGAGAAGATATTTCCGCAGCAGCCAACACATTGAACGGACATTGTTGGACAGGCAATAACTTATTCAACTCCTCCATAGCCGTGCATGCATAATCCTTATTCGAAGCCAAAATAGCCTCATAAATATGCTCAAAGTCAAAATCCATACTGCCAACACTGGAAAGATCTTGAGAATCCGTATCATCTTCATCTTCGTCACTCCCACTATCTTCATCATCAGCCGAAGGACTCTCAACAATCATGTCTCCAGATGCAACCACCTGCAAAGGAGCAGCTCTAACAGCGCTAGAGACAGTTGCTTGCTCAAACGAATTTGAATGGCACTCCCCTGGAAGCAAGATGGACGCTGCTGGATAAGGACAGCAACTCCTAGGTTCAGTTACCAGTGACTTCAATTCCTTCTCGAGCAAATCTATTTCAGATTCAGTCACCTCAAGCGCTTTTAATACATTAACTTTCCATACTAACAATTTATTCATCGAGTTGGCTCGTGCATAGCTCGTCTCTGCAGAACTTGGATCATCCGGTTGCAAAATTCCATTTATTAATGAGCTAAGATTGGCAATGGATGCAAGGTCCAAATTTTCCAGATTGAAAGTTGGTTCCTCACAGCAGGACTGGGCCATGTTAATAGGTGAAAAACTTAAATTAGCAGGATCATGATCAATAATAACAGCCTTGATAGATTGTTTCTCCTCAGTACCTGAAATGTTTAAATATGAATCAGAATAAGAAATTTCACTTGAATGAAAAACAAGCACCTCCAAATCAAGTACAGGACCCAGTGTAACAGCAAGGCAAATTCACTCACAAAGGAACACCTCTTTTGTGAAAACCAGCTCTTATTGCATAAAGTAAAGAGGGAACCAGCAATCTGTGTAACTAAGTAAAATATGCATATATCATTTGAATGGAGAAGGGAAAAAAGCACTTTCTTTCAGAAAAAGCATATCTAACGATTTCGTATCAAGCCCCATGGGCTCAATGTAATCAACAAAACATTAAACAAACTTCTCAATTTAAGGCACAAATAACAGTCAAATATCTAAAGCCACAATTGGCATGAAGAGAAGTAGAAAGATTTTCTTGACTAGTCACTGACGAAGGCACTAGTACCAAACCAAAAATGTTCGGCCAGCAAATTTACATCCATATTGATTGCAACTCCATATTCAATACAGAAAATTTGAAAAAATTACCTTAGTCTATTTGAGGTGGGCCTAAAATAATTGGGAGTAAGCTTATTTTCATGCAATCAAATATTTATTGGGAAACTTGGCTAGCCAGAACCAGAGAGTTAGACATCCAAAGTCTGAAATTAAAGCCATTAAACTGATGCAACTCCAATCTATAAATAGGATGAAACACCTATTGACACAAACGATGTTTTCAAGCAGCTAAAAAAGGCCACGACTGCCATAAGTGATGTCATCGAGCAATAAGCCAGATATAAATCCACTCTATCTAGGATTATTTTAAGTACTTCAATATTACTACATCAAAAATAACACAATCTAACCAATGTATGGCACAAAACAATCGGATTTGCTTGGATGTTGTCGCTTCCACATAATGAAAGGCAATTGCATATCTCAGAAAGATATTATTTATATCTTCTATACATAAGTAGCCAATCAATGATTATAAACCAAATAAATGTTAATTGTGTCATATAAGACATGCACCTTGGGAGAAATTTAAAAAAAAAAAAGGTAGTTACCCTAAATTGATGATCAATGAACAACCAGTAGAAGGAAAGTAAGGTGCTCATCAGAACACACAATATGTTACCTGGTGAAGAACTACAAGCAACCGAAGACGGAGTCGCTGGTGAGGCACAATCTAACCCATCTGCAGGTTTGGGACTTTTTTCAAGCACGTTAGCAGAAGGAAGTTGCGTAGTTTCAGCAGAACTGACACTGTTAGCCAGGACATCTTTTGCAACACCATCTTCTGGACCCTCAACTTTCTTCTTCTCGTACTTTGCAAGACCCTCGCCCCAGCCTAGTCGAGGCTTCTTCCTTGAGCCAGTGTCGTCAGATGGAACTCGAGCAGTGGGCTCCAAAGATACAGCAGCAGGTGAGTCAATGGGCACCATATTCTTCGGCTGCGCCTCTGCAGTTCCCTCAACAGAATCCACTGCAGTACTCTTCGAGCTACTTGAACGGCTTAAACCAGAGCCCCTTGAGGATAAGCTACCTGATCGGTCCCATTTCAGCTTCCAATCCAACGACACTACAGCATTTCTTTTATCTGATTTCTGAACTGAGCTCGCAGGCTCATCAACAGTGCCCCCATCCTTCTCGTACTTCTCTTTCAGAGCAGCTTGAGGTTGACATGATAGGGAATCAGTAGGAGGATGAGGGGAGTTGTTACCCTTACTGCTGTTGTTATGGATGTTCTCGGAGTTATTGCCCTTACTACAGTTGTTATGACATGTTTCACCATTCTCGGAGTTGTTACCCTTGCTGCAGTTGGTATGGCATGTTTGGGTGTTCTCTACAGATTTCTGATTAGTAACCTCGCCATTGGGTCTCCCATAACCACCGGACGATGAAAGAGGTGGTTCACAAGACGGAGACTTCCAATCCTTCTGGCTAAAGGAACCTCTATTTTCCCTGCTACTTCTAAAATACCTCCCTTCACTGCGTGAGCCAAAAGGGCGAAAATTGTCATCTTCTATGTTTCTATCACCATACCTTGATCCAAAGGGCGAAAATCCATGACCAGCCTCATCAGGGTACATGCCCCAACCACCCTGCTTACCATGTCCTTCAGCAAGAAACAATCCAAAAATCCAAAATCATGGGCAGAAGAAACAATCA